TGCAGCACGGCGCTGGGCCGCTGGGCGGTTGGTTATTTACCTCCTCTAGGGTGTTGCCATGGCAATGGCTGGGTGTCCTCACAAACAGGGACCGCCAGGAAAGAAGCAAGGCCGCAAGGCCCAGGACTGCACTTCCTGCACCGGCCCCGACCTCCCCACTCTCGTCTCATCTCCAGGGTCCGTCTGAGGATCTGGTGGTCACAGGGGCGTCAGGAGGCTCCTCAGAGTTGTTGGGGTCTATGGCCAGGAAACACTGTATCTCCACTGTCTTAGCTCTTTCCCCAGAAACTGGAGAGAAACAAGACATGCTGGTCCGAACACTTCCTCCCCTCCACAAATAACAGTTCAGCTGGCGCACCTGCGAGAGCCGGACCTAGGACAAGGGAAAAGGGTCCCCAGGCCTCACAGCTGAATAAGAGCCTCCATCCCTGCGGGATTTCACAGCAAGCACCCTAACTAGGAACCCAGGGACTCCTGACAGGTCTGGGCTGGGCAGGGGACAGAAGGCGGCCAGGCCCGTCTACCCACAAATGGACAGCAGTAGGCACTCCCAGAAGCCTCCGTGTGAGCTCCAGCCCAGCCCTTCTTCTGCAGGTGAAGAGAGGAAGGGGGTGCCCTGGGGTACAGGGCATGCAGGGCAGTGGGCAGGAGGAGGCCTGGACAGGGAAGGTCAGAACTGAATCAAGACTGGGCGATGAGGGCAGAGAGGGGCCGGAGTGCAGGACAAGGGCCAGGACATCCCTACTCAAACACCCAATCATGTCCACTGTGCAAAAGCCAGTCACATCTCTGAAAAGCGCATCCAGGTCAGGGAACTCTGGACTCCCAAGGGGACACCCCACCTGCAGGAGACGGGTCTTTGCTTCCTAAAGGGCTAGGCCCTTCTATTGCCTCAACCTTTGCTTCCTGACGGTCGGGCAGCCTGACCAGGTGCCCCCTTGAGGAGGCTCTGCAGATCCCAGTCCCAAGTGAGACACAGACTCTGTCCCATGGACAGCATCACCAGGAGACGGTATCTTCCAGCAAGGAGCACATTCAGGTTGGCAAAACCAGATCCCCACCCAGTGGCCACACCTGCCACAGCGCTGCCCCCGCCCAAGTTGGGCGCATCAGCCACAGCCAGTGACCACCCAGGTCCTGGGCCACAGCAGCCACAGCGGCCGTGGGAATGCAGAGGGCAGCGGGGGTCGTAGGGGAACAGGGGTGAGGGGTGACAGACCTCACCATTTTCCAACAAACTGGAAAGTTAGAAAAGACAATCTCCTAGTCACAATAACAAAAATAGATAATATGCACAACAGCTTAACATGTAATAACTGTAAGAACAATAGGTAATAAACATAACAATGCAAAGGATTAATATGAAAATATAACATTTGAATAAAAAAGTACTGGATCCCTAGTTGGGTAAGTTATCAACTTTCCCTTAATCTTTGAATGTAATTCCTACCCAAATTTCATGAGTTTATTTTGATCTTGTCAGCACTTATTTAAAAGTTCAAATGGAAAAATAAATAGGAGGACGGCCGGCATCTTGAAAGAGCATGGGGCTGCTGGAGGGCAGGAAGCAGTACAGCTGGACCGGGCGGCCCAGGGGCGGTGGGCTTTGCAGAATCAGTGTTAAATTCCAGGTGGGGAAAGGGTTCTTCTCCAAAACAGTGTTTCCTCTGTTCCGGCTGTAAACGCACTAGTTAGTAAAACTGGTCGTACAGGGGCACTGAGAGCTGAGGCCGGTGGGAGGCGGCGGCTGCGGGCAGGAGGGGGGCGGCCCGCAAGCTCCCCCGGGGAAGGCGGCGAGTCCGGCGCGCCGCCCGCCGCCGCAAAGGGCAGCTGGAGAAGCAGGGCCGCCCCTTGCCCGGGGGCCCAGGGCCCCGCAGGAGGAGCAGAGAAGGGCGGCTCGCGCAGCCGCCCCGCAGAGGGGCACGGACCCGAGGCCCCGGCCCCTGGGGTCGGCGTCACCGCGCAAGGCGCCGCGGACCCCCGACCCTGGAAGCACACAGCCGGCAGGGTCCCCGTTCGCGGCCGCCACGGGCGCCGCCCTACCCGCCGGCCGCCGGCCCTGGTCACATGACCCCCCGGACCAATCCGAGTGCAGCACCCCGCGTGGCTGGTGCGCGGCAGGAGTGCGTGGTCGCACCCAGCCAATCAGAGGGCAGCGTGCGGGGCCGAAGCCCGCCCTGGCAGGTGAGACTGGCCCGGCGGAATCCCGGGGCGGCGCCTCCGCGCCAGCCCTGCCCCTCCCGGAGATGTTCGCTCACATCCGCCTGTCACCCTCTGCGGCTCTCTTGGATCAAGTGTTACTAGCGCCCCGAGGCCCCAGGCACCGGCATACAGCGCCTGCCAAGGGCTGTCACGCTCGTCACCGCGGGGGCGTCCCCCTGCCCCACCCGCGCACCT